CATCTAGGGAAAGAGGGGAGAAGAGGTCACCGCTGGAAGGCACCCAGGGAGAATGCCAGAATCCAATACACAGCCTTTCTGTTACGTATCTTAAAAGGCTGAGTAATTTAAATCTCAGGATGGGCTGTTTGTAATTAAAATTGTAACTGTTGCCATGATAACTCTTAGATGATCAGAAGCATTAAGATTCTGCATTTGGATACTAAAAATGACAAATGTTATTGGACCAAATCACTAACAAAGCACATACACAAGTGCACACACACTCCTCACACTAATCAAAATGCCATAGCACTTTCCCCCCATGAATTTTAACTAGCATCCCTCTAAAAATGAACAATAACCTAGATTTGGGTGACAGGCAACAGAAAAGTATATTTATGAAGAGTCCAGGACTTCATAGTTCTTTATAACATGTTATGTACATGGCATTTAAAAACTTACAATAAACCACCATAGAAGATTCAGTTCTACTGTAAAGGCTGATCAAGGAAGACACCCTGGGTTTGGTAGATTTCTTTGAGGACCAGCAATACTGTATCTTCAGACTCCCTATAAAGAGAAAAAATTATGTGTAAAAAGAAGAAGAAACTAACATTTGTATGATTCTTTACATATATTAACTCATTTAATCTACACAACCACCTTGCAAATTAACTTTTAAAAAAAGACTTTATTTATTTACACTCAAAGGGAGGGGAAAGGAGGGAGAGAAACATCAATGCGTAAGAGATAGATCAATTGGTTGCCTCTCACGTGCCCCAAGCTGGGAACCAGGCCTGCAACGCAGGCATGTGCCCTGACTGGGAACTGAACCAGCAATCTTTTGGTTCACAGGATGATTCTCAATCCACTGAGCCACATCAGTCAGGGCACAAATTATTTTTTTTACCATTGCAAAAAATCATACTCAAAGGTGACATAACTGGCAGCTGTTTGGAGGTGTAGTATTATATCCAGTAGTATAAAAAAGCTAGTAGTAAATGACCAAGAACTGTTCCTTCCATAGAATACATTTTTGGGACAATATGAAAGAGCCATACAGTTGCTCACCTTAATTTTTTACATGTTCCTTTCTTGAAAAGATAATACAATCACATGGTTCAAAATTCAAGATATATAAGGGTTTAATAATGAAGTTTCCCCCACCTGTTTTTTAAAAATGTATTGATTGCGCTATTACAGTTGTCCCATTCTTTACTCCCCTTTATTCCCCTCGAGACTGCATACCCCCTCCCACCCACATTCCTCCTCCTTTAGTCATGTCCATGGGTCATATGTGTAAGTTCTTTAGCTTCTACATTTCCCATACTATTCTTAACCTCCCCTATTTTGTACCTACCATCTATGCTTCTTATTCCCCATACCTTTTCCCTCATTTTCACCCCTCCCTCTCCCCGCTGATAACCCTCCATGTGATCTCCATTTCTGTGATTCTATGCCTGTTCTGTTTGCTTAGTTGTTTTTTTTTTTAGGTTCAGTTGTTGATAGTTGTGAGTTTGTTGTCATTTGACTGTTCATATTTTTTATCTTCTTTTTCTTAGATAAGTCCCTTTAACATTTTATATAAGGGCTTGGTGATGATGAAGTCCTTTAACTTGACCTTATCTGGTAAACACTTTATCTGCCCTCCCATTCTAAATGATAGCTTTGATGGATAGAGTGATATTGGACTTTCATGACTTTGACTACTTCTTTCCAGCCCCTTACCTGTAAGGTTTCTTTTGAGAAATCAACCAATAGGCTTATGTGAACTCCTTTGTAGGTAGCTCTCTCCTTTTCTCTTGCTATTTTTAAAATTGTCTCTTTATCTTTAATCTTGGATAATATAATTATGATGTGCCTTGATGTGTGCTTCCTTGAGTCCAACTTCTTTGAAACTCTGTTTCCTGGACTTCATGGAAGTCTATTTCCTTTGCCAGATTAGGGAAGTTCTTCTCCTTCATTGTTTTTAAATAAGTTTTCAATTTCTTGTTCTTCCTCTTCTCCTTCTGGCACCCCTATGATTCAGATGTTGGAACATTTAAAGTTGTCCCAGAGGTTCCTATGCCTCTCCTCATTTTATTGAATTATTTTCTTCATTCTGTTCTGATTGAATGTTTATTTCTTCCTTTTGCTCCAAACTGTTGATTTGAGTCCTGGTTTCCTTCCCTTCACTGTTGGTTGGTTCCCTGTACATTTTCCTTAATAGAAAAATTTTCCTCATTTTCATAGCCTTCACTTCTTCCTCTATTTTGCGACCATACTCAACCATTTCTGTGGGCATCCTGACTACCAGTGTTTTGAACTCTGCATCTGATAGGCTGGTTATCTCTTTATCACTTAGTTGTATTTTTTCTGGTGCTTTGATCTGTTCTTTCATTTGGGCCATATTTTTTTTTCTTGGCACGCCTGTTACCTAGTAAAGGTGGTGCCTTAGGTATTTGCCGGGGCAGGGCAACCCACATTTCTGTGTTGTGGCACTGTATATGGGGGAGCGGTCTGAGAGGGAACAATGCCACTTGCTCAGCTCTGAAGCCAGCTCTCACTCACTTCCTCCACCATCAAAAGCAAATTGGGCCCTGGCTGGCATAGCTCAGTGGATTGAGCTCGGGCCAGGGAACCAAGCAAGCACGGTTTGATTCCGAGTCAGGACACATGCCTGGGTTGCAGGCTAGTTCCCAGCAGGAGACACACGGGAGGCAACCATACATTGATATTTCTCTCCCTCTCTCCTTCCCTTCCCCTCTAAAGATAAATAAAATATTTTAAAAAAAAAAGCAACTCAGGCCCTTCTGGTGCTGATTCCTGCATGGGGGGAGGGGGGGAGGTGTATGTCCTAGGACCCTGTGGGTCTCTCCAACGAACTCTCCTGTGAAGCTGGGAGTTTCTCCTGCCGCCTCAACCCCCACAGGTGTTTTTCAGAGGGTTTGAGGCTTTATTTCCTCATGCTGGAACCCTGGGTTGCATGGTCTGTCTCACTTCCCAGTTGTTCCTCCTGGTTATCCACATGCAAATGTGAGACAGCCCACTCCACCAGCTGCTGCCTCGCACACCCCATCCATAAGCTGCCACCTTCCTGCAAGTCCTCTCTGCCCCAGATGCCTGTCTCCACTCCTCTTACCAGTCTATATGAATGTTTCTTCTTTAACTCCTTGGTTGCCGGATTTCCACACAGTTCAATTTTCTGACAGTTCTGGTTTTTTAAAAAATATTTTACTTATTTATCTTTAGAGGGGAAGGGAAGGAGAGAGGGAGAGAAACATCAATGTATGGTTGCCTCTCATGCGTCCCCTGATGGGAACTGACCTGCAACCCAGGCATGTGTCCTGACTGGGAATCAAACCGTGCTTGCTTGGTTCCCAGGCCCGAGCTCAATCCACTGAGCTATGCCAGCCAGGGCATAGTTCTGGTTATTTTTTGTTTTTAAATTTGTTTTTGTCATTCTTTTGGTTGTGCGAGGAGGCAAAGTATATCTACCTACACCTCCATCTTGGTCAGAAGTCCACCACTTCTGTTTCTTAACCACTAGTTCCGAACTTCTGACAAGTAATGCTCTCAATGCTTCTCATGCATCTTCTAGATATTCTGTGTGTATACAAGCAATTACTTATATCCAGTTCATAAAATGATTATAAAAAGTAACATTCCCAAAGATTTATTTGCCTTTAGGATATGTGGCTCTAACACTTTTCTAGATGAGTGATTTTCAACTGGTATGCTAGAAGAACTTTAAAAATAGATAATACCTGACTATTTAGTTAGGGACACTGACCTCTTTCCCCTTAAAGTGTCAAATTAGAAAATGACAACAGCCAACAAAACAATAGCTATAGGGTGTGAATGCCTTTTTCTTCTTTTTTAAAATATTTATATATTGTTGTTGTTGTTTTAAATTTTTTATTGATTATGCTGTTACAGTTGTTCTATTCCCCCCCTTCATTCCCCTCCACCCTACCCCCCATCCCCACCATTACCCCCCCTTTAGTTTATGACCATGTGTCTCAAGTTCTTTAGATTCTATATTTCCCATACTATTCTTGCCCCCCATCTATTTTCTATCTACTGTCTATGCTACTTATTTTCTGTTCCTTCTCCCCCCTTCTCCTTCTCCCACTCCCCTGTTGCTAACCCTCCTTGAGATCTTCATTTCTATGTTTCCACTCCTGATCTAGCTGTCCTTTTAGTTTGCTTTTCTTTTAGGTGTGGTTCTTAGTAACTGTGAGTTTGCTGTCCTGTCACTGTTCATGTTTCTTTAACTTCTTTTTCTTAGATAAGTCCCTTTAACATTTCATATAATAAGGGATTGGTGATGATGAACTCCTTGAATTTGATCTTATCTGAGCAGCACTTTATCTGTCCTTCCATTCTAAATGAAAGTTTTGCTGGATAAAGCAATCTTGGTTGTAGGTCTTTGGATTTCATGATTTGGAATACCTCTTTTCAGCCCCTTCTTGCCTGTAAGGTCTCTTTTGAGAAATCTGCTGACAGTCTGATGGGGACTCCTTTGTAGGTGACTGTCCCCTTAGCTCTTGCTGCTTCTAGGATTCTCTCCTTCATTTGAATCTTGGCTAATGTAATGATGATGTGCCTTGGTGTGTTCCTTCTTGGGTCCAACTTCTTTGGGACTCTCTGAGCTTCCTGGATTTCCTGGAAGTCTATTTTCTTTGCCAGATTGGGGAAATTCTCCTTTATTATTTGTTCAAATAAGTTATCCACTGGTGGCTGTGCCTTTCCCCCTTCTGGTACCCCTATAATTCGGATGTTGGAGCGTTTAAAGATGTCCTGGAGGTTCCTAAGACTCCCCTCGTTTCTTTGAATTCTTGCTTCTTGACTCTTTTCTGTTTGGCCATTATTTGCTTTCTTCTGTTCCACTCCATTGATTTGAGTCCCAGTTTCCTTTTCATTGCTGTTGGTTTCCTGTGCAATTCCATTCATTTCAATTAGTTTCGCCTTCATATATTTGTCTAATTTGTGGGTATAATCAACCAGTTCTGTGAGGATCCTGATCACCAGTGTTTTAAACTGTGCATCTGAGAGTTTTGCTATTTCTTCATCGCTTAGATTTATAGGCTCTGGGCCTTTGAGATCTTCTGGAGCCATTTTTGGTCTGTTCGTGCCCTTTAAGTGTGAGGAGCGGAGTCCTGGACTCCCAGGTCGCTGGGTTGTGATGCTGCATGTGGGGGCATGGTCAGAGCGGGGGAAATGTCGGCACCCTCTGCTGTTTCATGCGGCTGGGTGAGGAGCAGTGCCTTAGGTGGTTCACCTGGGCCGGGCCACTCAGAGTCACTGGGTTATGACACTGTATGTGGAGGTGGGGTCAGAGCAGGGAAATGGCGGAGCCCTCCCTGCCGCTTGCCGCGGGGACCCTCTGGGTCCTGGTCCAATCGCCCACTCCCTTGCTTGTCTATCCGCACACAAAAGCGAGACCACAGTCAACCCGAAGCCCTGCTCCCTCGCTGTTTCACAGCGGTCGCTCACTAGGTCCAACCCTGCGCCTGGATTGCACGCACCTGAGTCCCTCTGACCACGTTTTCCTGTGCAACCCTGCTCCACCAGCTGCTAGTTTTGCCCCTCTTACTGGTCAGGCTGAAGAATTTGTTGTTATCAGACTTCCGAAAAGTTCAATTTTCTGTGTTCTGGCTGTGTTTTCTGTTGCTAATATTTAGTTGTCTCTAAACTTGGTTGTGTGAGAAGGCACGGCATATCCACCTATGCCTCCATCTTGGCGGAAGTCTGTTGTTGTTTTTTTTTTAAGATAGAAGATGGGAGTGGGTGGGAGAGTGGGAAAAGGGAGAAAGCAGGGAAGCAGGAGGAGGGGGGAGAAACATCAGTTTGTCGTTCCAGTTATTTATGCATTTATTGGCTGATTCCTGTATGTGCCCAGACCAAAATTAAACCTGCAGCCTTGGAGTGTCAGGGTGACACTGTGACCAACTGACCTACCTGGTCATGGCCCAATGTCCTATCTTGAACAATAAATGTATATATCATATAATAAAAGTGATCTTACTGATCACTTTGCATAAGATTGCATATGACTGGTTAATTCTTGGTACCAGAAATCCTTATATACAAGTATAGGTACCTGATTTTTTAAAAACTCTTTTTTGTGTGTGAATTGATCAAAATTATACTTTTTTTGTCAAACAGGGAAAAAATGTATTTGTGTATGTGCTGCAGAATTTTAGTAATTACTATATGTGAGATGAAAAGGCCTGAAAACTGCTCTAGATCTGTGGCTCAACTTTTTTGTGAGTCATGAACCTACTTGAGAATGAAATCTATGGATTTCTCCCCAGAAAAAAACACATATGCATATCAAACCCAAAATTATAAACAGATTTCATTGGATTCACAGACTTTTTCTATCCCCCACAAACTCCATACACAGAACTTAAGAAACTCATGCCAACAAGGGGCACTTTAAATGATGTGATATTAAAATGGTGTGATCTTGATGCATACAAAAAAAATATCAACAAAAAATAATAGAAAGTTCAGAGATAGTCCTAAAGTCTGTTAACTGTTGCAACAACTGGATACCCATCTGGAAAATGACTTGGATCAACCCATATTTTATTAGGATAAATTTTAACTGAATTAAAGATTTCCATGTAAAATTAAACCATAAAATAACAGGATAAACTATGTATGGTAAGGAATTCTTTGGAAAGTAAGGAAGCTCTAAGTATAAGACAAACTCCAGGAGCCAAAAAGGAAAAAACAAATTGACTACATCAAAATGAAAAATTTCTAAATAGCAAAACCCAGTATACGCGATGTCAAAGACAAACTGGGCAAAAGGTATTTCATACTCGTGTTGCAGCCCTGGCTGGTGTGGCTCAGAGGATGGGTGTTGGCCTAAGAACCAAAGGGTCGCTGCCTCAGTTCCCAATCAGGGCACATGCCTGGGTTGTGAAGTGGGTCCTGAGTGTGGGAATATGTGAGAGGCACCCATTAATGTTTCTCTCCTTCTCTTTCTTCCTCCTTTCCCCTCTCTCAAAAATTAAACAAATAAAATCTTTTTAAAAAAATCTGAAACTCGTATTGCAGACTAATCAATTAAAAATCCAACATTTCAATATAAAACAAAATAAAAGGTATAGACAGCTCCCAGAAAAGGAAATATAAATGGTCCTTAAGTATATGTTAAAATGTCTCAACCTTACTCATAAGAGGAAGAATGTAATTTTTTTAGATTTATTCAATCTTGAGAGAGGAGCACAAGAGGAATGAAATTTAAAGCTAGAGCACATACAAAACATACACTGAAAACTACAAAACACTGCTGAAAGTAAAGAACAAAGTACACTGAGAGATATGTTTTTTTCATCAAAAGACTCAGTATTATTAAGATGTCAATTCCCCCCAAATTGATGTATAGGTAAAATATAATCACAAAGTCCCAGAAAGCTTTGTGATTAAAATAAACAAGCTCGTTATAAAACATACTTCTATGGAAATGCAAAAGACCTACAAGAGCTAAAAATAACTTTGAATAATAAAGTTGAAACTTTGAATAATAAAGTTGAAGGACTCACAATACCTGATTTTAAGACTTATAAATCTATAGTAATCAAGACAGTGTTCTATTGGCATAAAGATAGACAAATACCCCTGGCTGGTGTGGCTCAGTAACTTGAGCAACAGCCTATGAACCAAAGGGTTGCCAGTTTGATTCCCAGTCAGGACACATACCTGGGTTGCAGGCCAAGTCCCAAGAGGGGGCCACCACATATTGATGATTCTCTCCCTTTCTCCCTCCCTTCCCCTCTATCTAAAAAAAAATAATAATGTAAATTTAAAAGTCTAAAAAAAACCCAGACAGACGTATAGATCAATGGAACGAAAGAGTACCAAGGCAATTCAGTGGTCTCTCCATCTCAAAAAACTTTTCAACAAATGTTGCTAAAATAATTGGATGGTCATATGCAAAACAATGAAGCTTAATCCTTATTTCCTATTAAAATTTATTAAAAATTAACTCAATCAAAATGGATCATAGATCTAACTATACAAGCTAAAACAATATAACTTATAGAACACAAAAGAAATCTTAATGACTAGATTTGGCCATGATTTCTTAATTATGTCAAAAAAACACAAACATTAAAAGTTAGATTTCATCAAAATCAGAAACTTGCCCTGGCTGGTGTGGCTCAGTGAACTGAGTGCTGACTTGCAAACAAAAGGGTTGCAGGTTTTGATTCCTGGTCAGGGCACATGTCTGGTTTGTGGGCTAAGGGGAGAGCACAAGAGGCAACCACACATTGATGTTTCCCTCTCTTTCACTCTCCCTTCTCCTCTCTCTATAAATAAATACAATCTTTTTTTTAATCAAAAACTTCTGCTCTTCAAAACAAAATGAAAAACTACATCCTGAGGGAAAACATACCTGTAACTAGAATATAGGAAGAATTCTTGATGAACAACAATTAAAATAAATTTTAAAAAAAAATTCTTGCAACTTACTAAAATAATCCAATTTTTTATGGGTAAAAGATTTGAACAGATAATTCACCAAAGATATATGGATGGCAAACACATGAAAATATGCTCAGTATTGTTATTCATTAGGGAAATGCAAATTAAAGCCATAATGAGGTGCCACGTGTTGTCATGAATATCGAGCAACTGGAACTCTCAAATACTGCTGATGGGAATGGAAAATGCTGGCAAAAAAAAAAAGTTTGGCAATTTCTTTTTTTTTTTTATTTTTTTTATTTTTAAGATTTTATTTATTTATCCTCAGAGGAGAAAGGAAGGAGAGAGGGAGAGAACTGGCCTGCAACCCAGGCATGTGCCCTGACTGGGAATCGAACCGTGGTTGCTTGGTTCCCAGGCCCGCGCTCAATCCACTGAGCTACACCAGCCAGGGCGGCAATTTCTTTTTAAAAAATCATCTTACCCATCAATTCTACACCTAGATATTTACCCTAGAAAAATTACAGTATATGTTCATACAAAGTCTTGTACACAGCAGTTTTGTAATAGCCCAAAACTGGAAATAATCACAGCAGTTTTGTAATAGCCCAAAACTGGAAACAATCTAAATGTCCATCAAGAGGTGACTGGCCAAACAAATTGTGGTACATTCATATAGTGGACTACTACTCAGCAATAAAAAGGAGACACCACCTACTGATACACATGACATGGATGAATGAAAGAAGCCATACCAAAAAAAGAGTACATTGTAGTACGATTCAATTTACCATATTTTCTGGACCATTAAGATGCACCTAGGTTTTAGAGAAAAACAGGAAAAAATTTTTGAAGCAAAAAAATGTGGTAAAATATTTAATAACATAAATAACATGATATTTCACCAATGTAAATGTAAACAGAACTCAACAGCAGCATTAACAACCATTATTCCTCCCAAACGGGGGGGGGGGGTGCATCTTATAGTCTGAAAAATGCAGTATATACTAGTCATGTGCAAACTAATCTGTAGTGACAGAGGCAGATCAGTGGTTCCCTAAACACTATGAAACAATTAGACCAAAAAAAAAAACAAAAACAAGAGGAATAAAAAACAACACTCACCAGTAGCATAGATGGCTCTGTAAAGCAAATAAATACTCATTGAAACTCTCAATGGGCTTCTCCTGTAGCACGTAGTCAATGCGCTGACCTCCATTAAGCATTCCCACACTGATGGGGGGGGCTTCTTCTTTAACTGCTGCAGAGGCCTCTTCTGCGTTAACATCTGGATAGAAGAACCATACTAAGAATCTAAAAGCTGCCAAGTCCTCCAAGGTTGTCATTATAATCAAGATTGTCAATGATTATGAGCTCCCCACAAACTCCAAGTTTACTATAAGTTCCAGGGATGTCCAACCTTTTGACATCTATGGACCACACTGGAAGAAGAGTTGTCTTGGGCCACACATTAAATACACAAACACTAACAAAAAATGATGAGCCAAAAAAAAGGTTTTAAGTAAATTTATGATTTTGTGTTGGGCCACAATCATAGCCATCCTGGGCCACAGGTTGGATACCCTTGCTAGATAATTGAAAACTAGAATGCAATGTTAACTGAAATTAAGAGGACAGTATCCTGCTAGTCCCCAACCAGGAAAATAAAACTGATCCCTGAAGACACAAACATTCCCTGGTAAAAGCAAGGTGCCTCAGAGAGTAGGCTCTTAACACCACCCCCATAGTTACCAAGTGGAAGATGTTTTAAAGCATCATTATCAAATGTCCAGGTTCTCTTGACATTTTTCCTCACAAATAATGTTTTTCCATTATTTGTGCCTATTAGATGACAAGAAAGGCTAGCAGAGCTGAAGGCCATTAGGACTCATAGTATGGGTCCCTTACAATATAAAGGGCAAAGTAAGAAGTCCCTCAGAGAATAAGAACTATACATCATAGAGACCCTCTTATCTGGCCTGATGTAGGAAATCAGTGTGGACAGTATCACCAACCACTAGGCTTCTCTGAACTTGACTCAGGTTCTGTTTCAGTTTCTTCCACACTTTCTGAAGCTTGTAAGGCAGGGTATGGAGCTCTAGTGAAAGACTTCCAGGCCATCCGCAGTGAACCTAGCAAGTTGTTCTTAAGGTCCATGCTCATCCTGGTCAAGCCCTCTCTCAGTTCTGAAACACATATGAATAAAGAATATTGCATGGTTTACAATAGATTTAGGATCCAACAAAACTAAACAAAGTGATTGAGGTCTGCAATTATCAAGTTCTGTACTCAGTCTTACCTAAGTGCATCCGTTTCCTGCCTTTATGATGTGGGATCAGCATTGGCTCAAATTCCACTCCTGGGACCACCATTGGTTCAATTCTATAAGCCACAGGATCAAACTACATAGGAAAAACAATAGCTACCTATACCTCAGCTGAACAAACATAGTCTGAGGAAGGGTTAATATTTATCAGGCAAGAATGATTATGAGCTCATTTTTAAAAAATATAGTTATTCTACCACATCACTTCCAGATTCATACTATTTATAAGTTACCTCATTACTACAAAATAGTATATAAAACATACATCAACACAACAGAAAATCATATCCCCTTTACCAATAAACTCTAATATTCAGGTAAAACCACGAGAACTATCCAATGCTTACAGGGTGATAAATATTGAAGAAACCTTTGCATGTTGGAAATTTGTAGTTGGGATCAATTCTTTTTAGTCCTCGAACAGTAAGGAACATTCCAATGGGAGATCCAAAGGCAAAAAATATTTCTGGTTTATAGATGAGCCGGGGGTATTTTACAGACACCTGGAAGGAGAAAAATAGAAGCATCTCTCAATGACAAGAATTATATCTGTTCTTACCATAGGAAAACGAACAAAGAGAATTAGTATTGTTACCTGCCCAATGCCAACATCCAGATAGTCATTCCCAGTACCATTAGCACTACTGCAGAACTCCAATTCTTTGGGGATATTAGACATATTCACCACTGAAGCTGATTGCAGAGTTGGTCTAGTAATACCCTAATGAATAAAAAATAGTTTGTGGAGCTGCTATGTAGTAAAAATATCCAAAAGATTTTATACAGTTTTCTACTGGTTTGAAAAGCTGCATGGGAAAGTTCTGGAATGACAAACAATAATTCCAGGAAGTCTCTCAGAAAACAAGATAAAGCTGATCAAAACAAAATGGTTCATAAAAACAAAATTGGTTCATAAAAACAAAATTGCCTGAAACTATGAATTAACATCCCAACATGCTCTAAAATGAAGATATACACAGTCATTTGGGCACAGCTGAAATCTTAGGCAACCATCAAGAAAGAAAACAATAGCAGAACATTGTGGAAAAGTAAACTGAGGATTGCTAAGAAGTTCAATAAAGTGCTATGACTTTCAAATTAAAGCAAAAAGAATGTCTCTATGAATACAGAAAAGATGCAAATACTGGGCCCTAAAAAAGAACTGAGCAAACTGCTAAAAGAGTTGGAAAATAATTAACTACTAAAATATGGAAAAGAATTCAGTGGCCAAACTGAATGTACTAGTAGTGTTACAACATGGACGAACCTTTCTTTTTTCAATTTCCCCCCCTTTTATTGATTTTATTGAGGTGACGACAATAGGGATAAACCTTGAGTATGTTATGCTAAGAGAAAGAAGCCAGTTATAACAGGGCACATATTGTATGAGTCCATTTACATGAAATGCCCAGAATAAGACAACCATAAAGACGGAAGGTAGATTAGCGGTTCGTAAGAGGGAGGAACGAGGAGTGACTGCTAAGGAGCATGGCGTTTTCTTTTTGGCGGGGAGAGTGAGGAAATGAGACAGTGGTAATGATGACATAACTCTGAATATATTGAAAACCACTGAATTGTATACTTTCAAAGGAGAATTTTATGGAATGTGATATAAATTATATTTCAATAAAGCAGTTATAAACAAAAATAAAAATGAAATTATATCAGGAGTCTAGGGGAGATAAGACTTCTGAAGTTAGTAATATTGTTATGGTATCAATAAACTTGTTTAATTTCTAAAATTAGAGCCAAAATTAATGAACAAAATTACTCAGCTCCCTAGGCTACACACTTCACAAAGCAAAAGGATACAAGGATATCAAACTTGTTTAATACTATAAGCTATATTAAGCACATACCATTGAACTTTCTCTGGTCCTAAAGTAATTTAATATCTTCTTTCTTGGTCCTAAGGGAATTCCCATTTCCTGAAGATCTTTGTCTGTACATAAAGCCTAGGCATAGAAAAGCAAATATCTTTCTTATTTCTAAGCAAAGTAGAATTAACTAAATGTCCTTTTCTCTGAAAAGAATAAGAACTAAGTACTCTGTTATTCTTTGCTTTATATTATTAGGGGTCCCTAATGGTACATTATTAATAACTTAGAAAAGGAAAGAGCATTTTATTCATAAAAAAAGCCTAAAGAAGGATAAAAAGTATCAGTATTACAGTATCAATGCCATAGTAATACAGCTAACATTGTATTACTGGAAAAAAATCAACAGAAGTAGGTATCTAACTTAATGACAGAAAAACCCTCCTTGATGTCCATGCTCCCTTGGATGTCACATTCCTGAGAAAGATTACATTCCTCCTCATGGATGTAAGCGGTTGGACATAGAGCAAACACAGGGCATGAAACAGACTAACAATCAAGATCTGAGCTGAAGTGCTACTTACCTGATGAGGGAAGTCTTCCTTCAAACTAGGTTAGTTCATCTTACACATTCTTATGCCCCTGTGTACTATTATTCCTTAGAACTTATCACTACTGTGATTTAATTATGGTTTTTATTATTTATAAGTTTTTAGCAGTAAACTATAAACATCATGAGGTTGGGGACCATATCTGTCTCAAGCACCACTCTATCTTCAGTACTTGGTATGGTATGCCTGATCGTGGTAAGCATTTGCTGAATACCTGCTGAATGAATGTATTGCAAACCAAAATAAGAACACAAAGAAACAAAAACAAATAAACAAGCAAATATCAATAGCAGAGTTCTTGAAAGTGTAACAGAAAATAAGAGTCGGAGTAGTTACTGGTCATTTTTTTCTGTTCTCATGTTTTCTGAGCTGTGCTATTGTTTAGTCTTTACACTATTGCTATCAATGACTTCTCTTGAACTTTAAACTCCCACAAAGCAAAGATGACTTGATATGATTAAAAAACATATAATTAATGCTAAAGAACATTACTAATGATAAGAAAGTATTTATGACTAAAATGCTTCCAAAGAGCAGGTTCTTACTAGGCAGTATGATGATGATAAGCAATAAAAATACCAAAAACAGTATGACAAAGTTTTAAAAGATTCTTTTTACCAGCGCTTCCTTATCTACTTTCTCCTTCTCAAATATACCAAAGAATTCAGAGAGTTGAAGTTTCTTCAGATCTTCCTCTAGCGTCAGTGCGTCTCCTTGATCCATATTTGGTGAATCCTAAAAATTAAATTTTAAAGCTCATATTCTCTACATTCATTTAGATTTTCCTTTTATTAATACCATTTTGCAGTAAAGAAATATACTACATAAGATTTGCACATATAGATATATTTTAACTTTAAATACATTGTGATTTATAAAAAGTACAAATTAAGAGGTGCTGATCTCTAACTTTTTGCAACTTCATTTGAAACTTAGTGTTTTAAAATAAATAAATGAATGAATAATTTAATTATAAAGTATTGTTATCATTAACAAAAACATTTACTGAGCTCCTATTACAGAAAGTATTTAAGACATAAAACAATCTAAGGCAAAGCTCCCCCCGAAGGAACTCACAGTTCAACAGGAGAAATAGGAGCTTACATAAAAAGAGAAAAAACACAAGACAGTATATACTAAGTACTAACTCAAAACTACAGATTAGTGTTCACAGGACTCTTTTACTAAAAGATATTTAAACATTGAGTCCTCCCAGTGCTTTCAGACAATTTCTATAAATTATATCAATATGCATCTAATTCATTGTTCATTTCATCATAAACAAACTCCACTTCAGCTCAACAATTTTATAATTTTAATAACAGATCAGTAGTGCATATTTATAATGAAAAATAAGACACTAATAGTTATTTTAGAATGTGGCAAATATTTGTAAAAGCGTACTGGTACCTTGCTTCTTATCATCCAAGAAGACAAAGTTAATTACAAGTCTGTTTAAATAAATGTAAATTTAATGTTATGGTATGAGACTAAGCAAAAAACAAAAAATAAGTCTAAAATCTCAAAATTCACACTAAGAAAAACTACAAAAGAACCTATCTGAACATCTAAATTACCTTTTCACTGTCAATACTCCCCAAAGAATCTTTCTGATTTGTTAGGATATCAAACAATATAAGCGAACCTGTAAGTAAAATAGGAAAAAAAAGGGACAATTTCTAAACATTAACACTAAACAGTTGTCCTTTATACAAAAAAGTAATAACCCAATTAATTACCCATCTAGCAAAATCTACAGATAGTCTTTCTTTCCACTACACCACCACCCTTCCAACCCTTTTCAAAATCTTCATCAAAGATCAGTTCTAGCCCTGACTGGTGTAGCTCAGTGGACTGAGCACAGGCCTGTGAACCAGAGGATCGAGGTTCAATTCCCAATCAGGGCACATGCCTGGGTTGCAGGCCAGTTCTCTGCAGGCCGGTTCCCAGCAGGGGGCGCACGAAAGGCAACCATACATTGATATTTCTCTCCCTCTCTCCTTCCCCTCTAAAGATAAATAAATAAAATCTTTTAAAAAAAAATCAGTTCTAGATCTGTGATACTGATAAGAGACACTGTTCTTAAAAAACAGGTGTCCTAAAAATATGATAGTCCTCTCTGGTTACAGAGAATTCATTTGTTACCTAAACTATGACCAGCAATGGATACACCCCCTTTGAAATCAGGGTTCCTCTGCAGAAAGAGTGTGTATATTCGGTTCATTTCAGAAGCAACTGTGTCCACAATAGTCTGACAGTAAGTGGGGCTATTGTAGAAGAAGACATCCAGAATTGTATCGTTGGTGAAGTGCCGTAGGCGGTTAATGCTGGGCAGGGTTATTCGCTGCAGATCTCTGAAAAAGAGGAAAGGTATTTTAAGCAGAAAACCAAAATACCTTCTATAGCTTCCTCTAAGTTAAGGAGCTTAGCCTCCAATCCTAGACCTAGATATTTAAAGATACAAGAGGCAACTATCAACTTATAGGAAATACAGAGGACAGACAGAAATGTTTCATGAAGTCAAAGGGATGTGATCAACAAAATTCAGAGTATAAGCTCTACAAGACAACTCATTTTCTTCAATACAAAAGTTGTAATAAAATAACAGTTGGAAAGGTAATCAAGAAATTAAGAGAGACTTAAAAGACATATCAACTAATCGCAATTTATGGACCTTATTTGGATCCCAGTTTAAACTATATATGTATGCCTGTATATATGTGTGTATTTGTGTATGTGAATGTATGTATTTATATATATTTGTATATATATATAAATCATGAATTTACTATACAGTTAGAAATTTGAACACTGAGTATTTGCTGATCTTAAGAATTTTTTAGGTGTAATAATGCTGTTATTATTAACACCATTATTGGTGTTAATAATAGGACTTTTAATAAAATATAAGTCCTTTAAGATACACAAACTGAAACATGTACAGGTGAAATGAGATAATGTCTATGATTTGACTCCAAAACAATATGGTGTAGCAACGGGCAGTACACAGGGGTATGATGATAGGGATGGGGAAGAACTGGCCATGTGCTGTTGAGGCTTATTGGGGCTGGGTAATCATAAACAATACATGAAAATTAATTATATGTGCTACTTTTGTATAAATAATTCTATGTAATAAAAACCTTTTTTAAAAAAGACAAAAGCTACAAGAGGGTTTTCCTACAATTTTCAACATTAACGTTGGTCACAAGCAAAATCATAAATGGGATCAGCTCTCAATGCAGAATTTATTAAAGCTGAAAGAAACCAAAGGCAAACAGAACTCATGTCTTACAAAGGAAAACCATACTGACATTGTCTAAATCAACTTTCAGTTAAAATTTTCTCAAAATTCCCAAGGAAATTCCTCAAAGATTCAACAGTTTCTGTAATTTAGAAGGCTATGTGACCTTAGTCACCTTTGAGAATCAGCTTAAATACGATATGAACTCCATATCTAGTAAAAATCAATACAACAATGAAGCATTTGCCACATGCAATATGCTCAAATCGTAAGGTTAAGAACTGAGACACAGAATCAGCATGGAAATAATGCTGATTACTTCCTTTATCTCCCAGAGCAGTATCTCCTAGTTCTATCATAGAACTGTATGATGTACCTCCTACTTTCTGGAGAGCCCATAGCTGAATATCCTTTCTAAAAAATATTTATTTATTTATTTATTTTTAGAGAGAGGGGAAGGGAGGGAGGGAGGGAGGAAGGAAGAAAGAGAGGGAGAGAAACATCAACATGAGAGAGAAACATCAATCAGTTGCCTCTTGTACTCACCCCAACCGGGAACCAAACCCACAACCTAGGCATGTGCCCTGACCAGGAATTGAATCAGCAACCTTACACTTTGCAGAATGACACGCAACCAACTAAGCCACACCAGTCAAGGCACGAATATCCTTAATATAAGGCAACCCTCTCTAACATTACCATAAAATTTACAAACACAGGTATTGGGGTTGTAACTTAAAGTCATTACTTATTGGATTGGCCAAAAAAAGTTCATTTAGTTTTTTCTATATGAAGGCTCTAGTATAGCTTAGTTGTCTTTAACTTCATTCAAAACAATTTTGTTAGACTGTGTTCTCACAGCTGTCATGTCAGCATACATTTAAAAACAACTTATCAAAATTGGTGAATTTTTGTGCAGCCACTTTAATACTGAAGATGGAAGAAGATTACAACATTTTCAGCGACTTATACTTTATTTCAAGAAAGGTAAAAATGCAACTGAATTGTAGAAAAAGATTTGTGCAGTGTATGGAGAAGGTGCTGTGACTGATCAAATGTGTCAAAAGTGGTTTGCGAAGTTTCCTGGTACTATAGGCATTTTGGTCAAATAATTCTTTGCTGTGGGGCTGTTTTATGCATTGGAAGGTGTTTAGCAGCACCCCTGGCCGCTACCCACTCTAAGCCAAGAGTGGGAGATAGCCAACACACTCAAAATATCCAAATCATGAAGTTATTAGTGAAGATGAAAAATGTATCTTTTATTTTACAAAAAAAAACTAAACAGACTTTTTGGCGAACCCCACAGTTGTACCAAATTATAAATACTAATAATTTAATGCTTGGGGATTTCTTTTTTTCCCAAATTTGGACAAATATTATCTAAATTTGGTCACAAAAGAAACAAGAAAATACTATGTATATATCAAAGTAGGTTGGCTTTTGACATCTGAAGATGGAAATGTTTATATGCTATAGGAAGAAAAGAATATTTGGCATTAATGCTAAATAAAAAAGCTATAGTAGTAAATATTAATGAGCCAATAAAACATACTATAAGAAAATGCACATAGCTCTTTACTACTAACCTGGACTAGTTAAACCAAGGAATTAGTTAGCATTTAATTATGTATCTCTAAAAAAAAAGGCATAGAAGTACAAAAAACTTTTTGAACAAAATTTTAAATATGCAATCAATTATAGCAGTAATAACCTTAAGCATATCAATGATCAGAGAGCATATTACAATCATGGTCAGCAACTTAAAGGTCACTCATGGAGAAGGACAACAGTGTGGTGACTGTGTGGGCGGGGGAAGTTAGAGGGTGGGTGGAAGTGGAAGAGAGTATGGGGAATAAATGGTAACAGAAAAGAGAAAAAATACAATAAAAAATGAACTATTAAAAAAAAAGGTGTACAGTATTACTCACACATCCACACCGGTAGAATGCAAAGGACTGTGCCAGTTGACTGGAAGAAATTCTACCCTCCCAATCTGCTGATTTTCTTGAGCTTTCTTAAAATGCGTTTGTAGCAGGTTCAAGGAAACATTGCGAAAATCATTAACTGGAAAAGAAAATTAACTTATGCAACAGCAAAGCAATGAGTTTGTAGAATTAAGATTCAACAGATCACATAATTATATTCTTTATCTACATTTGCTTAGAACACATTTTCACTTGAGTCAAAACAAAAAAAATGGGCCCTTGGCCAGTGAGTCTCATTTGGCTGGAGCATCATCCTGTGGACCAAAAGGTGGCAGATTTCATTCCTGGTCAGGGCTCGTAACCAGGTTGCAGGTTTGATCCCCAGTTGAGGCATGTATGAGAAGGCAACCAATCGATGCTTTCTTTCCCCTCCTCTTTCTCCCTTCTTCTCTTTCTAAAAGTAGTGGAAAAATGTCCTCAGGTGAGGATAAAAAAAATAGCAAAGAGGTATTCAGAAAAATTACTAATGCACATAAGAAAAGCTATTCCTTCAATACAGAACTTGCTTTTACAATTCAGTACATTTCACCAAAGAAAGAGCTAACTTCAAAACTTCTAATGTTTCATGGGAAATGTTTTGATTTAAAAATATATAGATATATATATCACATGATTATGTCACCTGGTCGTAGTTACAAACAACCACTACCCAATATTTAACATTTAAAAAGATGCACTGCTGTTTGAAATTCATATTATGTCAATCTTAATTAACCTTCTAAGGTTTATGCTTAGAAGCACTAGCCAGTAAGCTAAGACTCCCACATTGGGGCAATTAGGGACAAAGACAATTAGACTTTGAATACTATAGAGTTTTAGAGAAAGGTGTCAAAACTCATTTTCGCCAGGGCCACATCAGCCTCGCAGTTGCCTTCAATGGGCTGAACGTATAATTCTAGGACTGTATAAATGTAACTACTCCTTAACTAGGGGCAAGGAGCTCTACTTTCGAAGGCAACCAGGAGGCTGATGTGGCCCCCAGTGAAAATGAGTTTGAAACCCCTGTTTTAGAGGATTCTACCTTTCAAAATCAAGTTATGCTAATGACCTAAATACAAAATTAGAATATCAAGAGATTTATCACAGTATGAATTACAATAGCTTCTGCTGCACATTTAAACTGTATCATCTTTACAGTCCCTTTACATTTGGAATGGTTAGACACAGGACCATCACATCATAACAGAATTTCATAAGAATTAAGGACTTGCTCATTCAAGAATTATTAGTTAAGAGCATAAACAATTAGCCTAAGGAATTTACTAGTACTTTAGGTCTAAGCTGGAAAGCTTTACAACCTTGCCACCAGTCTATAGCTCTCCAAATCCTATTATGCAGCTAAGACAACAGACTAAAGACAACAGTTTATTTCAGCTCACGGGAGCACTGACTAATATTCCCCTTAAATGACCTAATCTTACATGCTTTGCAAACCTACCACACTGTACAATGCTTCGAAAACGGAGATCACAAGCTGGTCCAATCCCATGGACTACAAAAACCAAGTGGTCTATTTGTAAAGGTTCTCCTATAAATGACATTAAAAAGGAAAATTATTCTATATGATTAGTCACATATTCTAAAATCAAACATTCACAATAAATAGATTATACAGATAGACAAGTTAAAATATAAGCAGATAATTTAAAGGACGACACAAAATAATCCTGGCTATAACTATGTACTTAGTTAAAATACAGTGTTCACTTTATTTACTTTGTTACTAAGTCTGTGAAAAAAATGTTCAGGTTTTTAGAACTTTTTAGTGTGAAATAATTGCAATCTTACAGAAAACTTGAAAAAATAATAAAGAAATGTCCATGTACTTTTTACACAGATTCAACACTTTAACACTTATCACATTCACTTTATTATTCCTTCTTCTTATATATATGTTCATACACATACATTTATTTTTCTGAACCAGTTGGGAACAAGTTGCATACATCATACCTCTCTCTTTAACCCTTTAATATTTTAATGTGTTCTTCCTAAGACTATTGTCTTATATAACCACAGTGCAGTTATTGAATTCAGACTGTTTAACATTAAAATAATTTTATATAATATTCCATTTTTGTCCACTGTCTCAATAATGTCTGGCATGTATTTGAAACCTGAAATTTTAAACTCATCTTTTAATTATAGTAAGTCTAAGACTTTGGCCAAGAGACAAACTATCTCCTCTGCAAGAAAAAAGGAACTTTATGGTCCAATTAATTACATTATAAAACTAATCATAAATGACCCCAGATACCAATGGATAACCATCAAGTTCATACTGAAAAATGGTTTTCCTTAGTTGGAAATGAACAACAGGAAGTACCAGGACTAAATTTCTAACCAAACAGGTGGAATCACACTTCTTAGAATAAGAACTAAATCAGTTAATCTGTGGTTAGTGAATTCCTGATTAGTACTGCCAAATTTTACCATCCCACTATACATACTTAGCAATTTTAAAAGACATTTGTATACCTACTAAGAGTCTTAGTAGATGAAGTGATGCTAACTCTAACTACGAGTAAGCTCATATGATTGATTAAAGATCATTTTTAAGCCTTGAGGTAATCCAAATTCATGGAAAAAAGTCATAGTTTAAACCATAATTAAGTATATCAGAAGATAAGAAAAAAATTAATGATTAACATTACCACAATGAATGTCAACGGAGATGTTCTCAACTCCTCTTTTTACTGTTCTTGGTCGACCCTGCTCAGTGGGTGTTGAACCCCATTCATCAGACCCTGCAACTGGCTGGTAATGCACCATAAGCTTAAATAAAAAAAAAAGTCAAAAATTGTTTAATCCGCCCTGGCTGGTGTGGCTCAGTGGATTGAGTGTGGGCCTGCGAACCAAAGGATCTTGGTTCGATTCCCACCCAGTCAGGGCACATGCCTGGGTTGCAGGCCAGTTCCCAGCAGGGGACACACAAGAGGCAACCATACATTGATATTCTCTCCCTCTCTCCTTCCCTTTCCCTCTGAAGATAAATAAATAAAATCTTTAAAAAAATTGTTTAATCCTATAAACTATACTAAGCCATTCAATTTTTTCTGGTCCCAAAGTAGTTTACTAAATAAAATAAAATAAAACATTCACAATGAACAGATATAAAGATATTCTACATTAAAGACATCTCTACTTATAAATTCTGGGAGGCAGGAATATGTCCTCAAAACATAATACGTAGTCAAATCATAATACGTAGTCAAGTTTTTATATGCAAATACTATACCTTAAAATGAGAACTGTGATAACACACTTAGCTAATGATGTACTATTAAAATATCTTATAATTTTACTTGTATTACCTCAATAAAACTAAAAAAAAAAAGTAAAGAAAGCATACACCAGGCTAACAGACGATACCCTACACATGGAAAATATGCCACATAATCTATCAGAGATGTTCTTACTCTATAGTGGCATAATTTTCCCTAAGAAAATTCCCTAAACAAGGGAAATAATAGTAGTGACTACAAGTTTTAAGTTCCATAACTGCTAATATAAAAATTCCCAAAGCTTATCCTAAGTAGAATCCCTAGGAAAAAGAAACCAATGAAGTTCTCTTTAGTAATGCAATTAACCTTTAATTCCAACATTAGACAAAGGCTTTTAATTTGCTTTACCTTTGGATTGTGTAATATAATAATTTCTCTGTTGGGAGACTCCAGTTTCTTTTTCCATTCATCCAGAGTTACAGCAAGTCTGTAAGTTTCCTTAAGAGAAAACACATTTCCTTAGATTTCTCTTACAGCTTTTCTATTAAAACTAAACTTTTTCCCAAGAATACTGCTAAATAAACAATTGCAATAAGAATATCCTACTCCAATTAACTGAATTTATTTTAAAATTATAACACAGTATGGGACAAAGAAAATAAAGATACTCCTTACTCCTACTTATGTCACCTACACTGGAGATAAATATTTTTCACATTTTGATATATTTCTTTCGATAATATTAACGCATATATGTTTTCCATAAAATTAGGAATATATTACCTATGTAGTTCTTTCTCTTATCAAATAGTCTAAGCTGACCTATTTGATAAGAGAAAGAATTTTATTTTAAAATTCTTTTAAAATGTAATATTAATAGTACAGGACAAAAAAAATCAATCCTAATCCCATCATCTAGACTAGAAATAATCATTTTTCACATTTTGATAAATTTATTTTAATAGTATTAATGTCCTACTGTAATTTAAGCAAATTTCAGACTCTTTTCAGAGCAAGAAAACTAAAAGGCTAAAAGACAATTCTGTAGTCACAGTTTAAATATTAACAATAATCACCATTAAGGAAAATGCTTTTTTATTTAAAGACATAACAATTTCAATAGTGTATTTTAAAATCTGAAAAAACTACTTTATCTTGAAACTGACAAAAGAAAGGCAATAAACTGTGTGCAGATAGAACCAAACTCTTCCTGAAATTTTCAAAAAATTTAAGATACAGAGGAAGAAAAAATTATTAAATAAGAAAAAAATGAAGAAACTGAATTAAAAGGGGACAAAGAAATACCTCTAATACTTGGCTGAAGCTCTCCGAGTAGGGAACATACTTATTATCTTTGTCTCCCTTGTAAAACCAGGTACATCGTCTCACTTCTGATGCTAGCTCATCCCAATATACAGCATACCGCATCCTCTCTCCCAAATGAACATCATACCTGCCCCCATCAGTGGGGACAACTCTCCCATTACAATCTTTTCCTATTAAGAATTGGAAAGGGGGAAAAAAGTACATATATCAAAATAAATGTTCAAAACACAGTTTTGAGTTATATTCTAAATAATGTTATAAAACACATGACAGTTTCTACTTGGATAAACATTAAATAAAATGGAATTTAATTGTTATCTTTTTTTCACTAACAACTTTACAAACCATCAAAAATATTTTTGGTTTTAATGAAACATATACACAAAATAACACCCAAACACTGTTTTGTTCTTTTTTGGAGGAAACAGTAGTGTCCCTTTAAAAATACATATATAAGATGGTTTTTCTGAATTTTTTGCTTCAGGTGAATTAATGACCATGACCATCATGATGATACAGTAATAACTAGAATCACATTTCATAAAAGAAAAAAATAACAAATTAAAGAATTCATTCTTTTGCAATATGAATGTGACACCCCGCATATACACTCTTTATAAACAAAAACTGAAATATAAGCTATAACATAAGAAATATTATTGGATACCTATGCAGTAATTATAATAGGTACTGAAATATAGACCAAATTCTTAAATATTATAAATTAGGTAGTAATGCAGAGCTTCAATATACAAATGCTAGCGAGGATAACTAGAAAAAGATCTAAAGTGTATTTTTAATAGCATTCACTATAAGGACTAATATAAGTTTGAGAGAGATGGCAGTAAGTCTTTGTCTATTTAAGTCATCATTTTTCTCCCACCAGAGCCATATGCTTCTTCCAGCTGCTGTGAATCCTCAGAGTTGAAAGGAATCCATGTCTCTTTAGAATCTATTATCTTACAATAAAACCAATGAGGAGAAACTGGTTCATACAAGCCACCAGCATCCATGTCTATTAGTTCAAAGGAGCTACATGAGTTTGGTGATGGAGATGGATCTGACTGAGGCAACTGTTCCTGGTGTGTTTCCACTGATGACATTTCTCTCTCTAAAAAACAAAACACAAGAAAACTATTAGAAACGTTATCTTCCTTCTATTAACAGTATAATTGCTCATACACACACAAACTGGTCATTTTAGGAGTCATTTCTGCAAAACAAACAAAACCCCCCAACAATCAAAAGGAGCTACACAATTTAAAATAGAAATAACTTATAAATTAATAAGCTAGATTTGGGGATGGGGGGAGGAGAGGGCTTTAAACAAAATGTGTCTGTAGTCAAACCAACCACTTTGTACTGATTTCCCAATTCTGTCAGAAAACTGCATGATTTTAGACAAGTTACAAAACAAACACAAGAAACACACGGCCAAAAACTTGATTGCAACAAAATACTTTAACCCAATTTCCAATCTGAGTCTAGTGCCAAAGACAAAAAATTTAGGCTCTAGGCCCCTGTTATCACACACTTACATGATTACTGTAATCTTAAAACATTGGAAATAAAACTATTCATTGAAGAACCAGTCGCTTTCTACTGATCTTGAGATCTGCTTAATTAGGGACTGTGGTACAAATCCTGAAAACGCGAGTCCTTGCTTCGGGCCCCTGCGCGCAAGCGCCTACCCCACTGACACCGTCCACGGCTCAGGTAAAAAGTAACAGGTGACATCAAAAGCCTCCTTCCCTTCAAAACGTGACCTCTGTGTCCCTCCTTACCCCTTCGGCACTCGGACCGCTCGGCCAGCCTAACCGCGCAGACGGCGAAAGGGCCCTCCAGCTCCACCGAGGGCGTGAGCGCCGCCGCTGCCTCTGCGCCGAGAATACCTGGCCTGCGGCTGAGCGGACGCCCTCCGGGCTTTCGGCCACAATCTCTTCCCTGACCCGCGGTTACGTCCGCCACCGTGGCCTGTCTCTTTTCCCCGTGACCCTGGGACTCCTGCAGCCCCGACCTGGGACCTTAGAGCTCGGAGACTCGTCTCCTCCCGCGTCCCGCCCCGCACAGAGGCGCGCGCGCGGCCACCAATGGAAGCAAGGTAATTTGGGGCAGAGTCGATACAAAGGGCCACTTCCCTGGAACCTCACTGGGGTCTGCCCTCCCAGTATCCCCGTCAGGTATCACGTCCTCCGCGGCCCCTGGCATCTCCATCCCGCAGTGTTGCCCTGGTCCGTCTGCAGACCCAACTCTCCGTCGCGGACTCACCTGGCAGCCCCGCCGCCTTTCACGGTCTCCTGCCCTCGCTGAGGGGGACTCGACAAGTCCCCGGGGCGGCCTTTATCCCGCGCCCAGGCGGGGCGGAGCGAAACAGGGCGGAGCCTGCGCCCCGCCGGCTCGCGGCCGACACTGGGCTCCACCGCGCTCCCAGCGGGCGACCAGCGGGCCAGACTGCGGAGCGCAAACCTAGGTGGCCGTGACTGCTGCGCAGAAACAGCCGGAGAGACTGGGACAACCGCAGAGGTACTGCCAGGAAGTGTCGCGAGAGCTGGACGGACTCGCGCGAGATGTGCCTCCACCCTGCGGGCAGAGAGTCGGAGGGCTAGGCGTGCGGCTCCTAAGTGCACCGCACTCTTCGCTACGAGCGGGTGCGGCGTTTTAAAGAGGAGGTAGTTGAAAGGCGGGGATGGGGAAGGTGACCTCCTAGCTGTCAGGCAGTACGTGGTATTTCACTGAAATGAGGGAGGAAAGCTAAACCTCCTCACTTAATACATGGGAAAACAGGCCCCCTGACCCGCTAGTACCCCGGCTAACCCTAACCCTACTAAAGGGCCTGAAATGATGCGGGAAGCCACTTCCCTGGTGAAAAATGGGACGATAGGGTGCTAGTCGCAGCTGTCCCTATCAAGACCTTAAACTGAGTAGTAACATTGCCCAGCTCTCTTGAGTATTTGAGTTTATGGAAGATCTCAATTCCTTTGGGGAATAATGAGATAGCTCCCTATTTTCTAACTAGATTATAGGGCAAAGGTTTTGAGAATGTTTTTCAGTTTCGTTATTTCTTCACAAACCGAGAAAAAGGGAAACTGAAAGAGGGAACTTTTATAACATTAATTCTCCTGTAGATTAACAGCCAGAAATGTATTTGTCAAAATATTAACAAATTTATACCTTCTAAAATTTATAGCACCTAAATAATTTATGTTTTCTACCAAGAGGATGAAGAAAGCCAGGACTGTGCCCCATTCTCTAGGATCTTGTCAGATGATTAGCTAATATTATAAACTAATAATAGTACTATCACTTAGCTCTTACTTTGTAGGTATAGGTGTAAAGTAAGCATTTTGCAAGTATAATCCCATTAAGTCCTCACTGCAACCTGATGAAGCAGGTACTATAGTTATCTTTATTTGCAGAGGTAAAATGACTCACCCAAAGTCATACTACCAGCAAGTAGAGCCAAAATCATAGTCTGTCTTCACAGCCCGCACCTAAACAACTTAACTGAAATCAGTCAGTTAAGTAACAATTAGAACCTGAATTTTAGTTCTCTATCTTCAGATGGCAGAACTGTAATTTTAATTTAGGTCCTCTGTCGCTAAATTCCACTGTATCTTCCATACCAGCCGTTCTCAATTATTTTTGTCTCAGGACCCTAAAAAATAATGTTTGTATGGTTTATATCTATCACTATTTACTGTACTAGAAACTAAAACTGAGAAATTTAAAATATATTAATTCACTTTAAAGCAATAGTAAAAACCCTTTTTGTGTAAATATTTTTATAAAAAGTAACTATTTCCCAGCCGTAACAAGTGTAGCTCAGTTGGTTGTCATCCTGCAAACCGAAAGGTCATAGGTTCAATTCTTGTCGCGGCAAATGCCTGGATTCTGGGCGGTCCCCAGTCAGGGCATATGGGTTTGTATGAGAAGCAATTGCCTGATGTTTCACACATCGATCTTTCTATCCCTCTATTTCTCCCTCCTGTCCCTTTTAAGAATAAATGAATAAATTAAAATTTTTTTAATAAATAACAATAACTATTTTCCAAAATAATTTTAAAATCAGAGAAAATAATGACATTTCACATTTTTGTAAATTTCTTTAATGTATGGTTTAATAGAAAACCATTGGATTCTCAAATTTGCTTCTGCATTTAATCTGTTGCAATTTTAGTTGTGAAGTATACGAAGACAGCCTCAACCAACTATGTGCAGTTGGAGAAGGAAGATGTATTTTCATAGCATTTTCAGGTAACCATGGATATTCTTTTTAATACACTAAAATTAAATTGTAGGACTCCACTCCAGGAACACAAAACACCCAATTAAAAAATGGGCAATAGACTTGGACACTTCTCCAAGGAGGACATACAGAGGGCCCATAGACATATGAAAAGATGCTCAGCACTACTAGCCATCAGAGAGATGCAAATTAAAACCACAATGAGATAACACCTCACACCAGTCAGAATGGCCAACATAAATCAACAAGTGTTGGAGAGGATTCGGAAAAAAGAGAACCCTAGTGCACTGTTGGTAGGAATGCAGACTGGTGCAGCCGCTGTGGAAAACAGTATGGAATTCCCTCAGAAAACTAAAAATGGAACTGCCTTTGGACCCAGCAATTCCACTGCTGGGATTATACCCTAACAATCCTGAAACACCAATCCAAAAGAGCCTATGCACCCCAATGTTCACAGCAGCACAATTTATGATAGCCAAGTGCTAGAAGCAACCTAAGTGCCCATCAGTAAATGAATGGATCAAAAAACTATGGTACATTTACACAGTGGAATTTTATGCAGCAGAAAGAGGGAGCTCCTACCCTTTGTGACAGCATGGATGGAACTGGAGAGCATTATGCTAAGAAATAAGCCAGGCGGTGAGGGACAAGTACCATATGATCTTACCTTTAACTGGAACATAACAAAAGAAAACAGCAAACAAAATATACCCAGAGACATCAAAATTAAGAACAATCTAACAATAGCCAGAGGGGTGGGGGAAGGGGACAGTGGAGAGAAGGGTTTTCAAGAACTACTATAAAGGACACATGGACAAAACTAAAGGGGAGTGTGGAAGCAAGGGAGAGAAGGGGGTTTGGTTGGGGGAGGGAGAGTGGTGGGGAAAAGATGCAGACAGCTGTAATTGACCAACAATTCAGTAATTTTTAAAAAATTAAATAAAATTGTAGCTTCTTAAAATTTAGGAGCAATATGGAATCTTGAAAATATATCAGTAAACTTTTTGTACTCTGATACATTAAAATCCACTAGTCTATCTGGCACTCTGAATGGATCTTTTACCTGTAAATGATTTATGACATCACCTTGATGTTGGTCTTTTGGAAAATTTCAGTTCACTTGAGCTATGCAGTCTTCCAAGTGTTAACACATTTAATTATACATTTTTATTTTATTTTTCAAAGATTTTATTTATTTACTTTTAGGAAGAGATGGAAACATTGATGTGTGAGAGATAGACACCCCATGTTTTGCTGTATATAATGCACACCTATGTTTTAGTATTGCCTATGTATACTGCGCATCCTTATTTTTCTCTCAAAACTTTCAGCAAGTGTGCAAGATACTTGGCAAAATATGGTACAGGGATTGGTATAGGCCCCCAGCTGACCTGGCCTACAACCCAGGCATGTGCCCTGACTGATTCTGAGAGCTTTTAATTCCCAGGCCAGCACTCAATCCACTAAACCACACACTCATACTTTTTTTTTTTTAATTACCATGGATCTCATTAAAGTATTTAAGTACTGGGAAGCTGTGAAGCTCACAGCACAGCAAAGTTTTCCAAAATTCTATTTTTCTTTTTGAAAAGGTCAGATTTTATTTACCATTGGCAACAAATACTCAGTTGTTCTCCTTGAAGTGACAGCTCACTTTGTTTTTGTGGGAATTCAGAAAAGCAACCTCAAGATGTGCCTCGGTGCTTTGTGCGTTGTTTTGAGCTAAAGGCAACTGAGGCCCTGTGGGCTCAAGAGAAACTTCTTCCCCCACCAGCCTTAACTATCTTGAAGAATTTGAATGGCGTGCCTTGCCCATAATAAGAGATTATCAGAGATAACCTTTTTGGACCTACTTATAGGGCAGGGCAAACTATAATCATTGAATATGTGCTCTCCCCACAATGATCTTCTGAAGCCCCAACGTGCCTTAACCTCATCCCTACCTGGATCAGAATGTTGTATATACCCATTTTCCCTTTCCGTCTAAGCCTCTCACGTATGTGGGGTTCCTATAATACAAAATCAAATCTGATTTTTTCTTGTAGGTCGCTCTCTCATTTGATATGATTATTAGGCTAGCTAAAAGAACCAGAGGAAGGAAAAGGGAATTTTCCCCCATTCCCATATATTCAAAAGAAGTTTTGCCAAATAGTTAACTCTGAATTGCCATGGGTTGTTAATTGTACTTTCAAATGAAAATGTTCCATGAAAAAAAGAGTAGCTGGCTCAGTAATCAATTCAAATAACCAGTCAAGTACTTTTTCCTCAAGAGACCAGCATACTTCTGTATGTGGAATTGTTTTATGCACACTATTTTGTCACATAGAGTATGAAAAAGTGTGAACTCCAGGGTTGAGTTATAAAATTAAACTTTGCTGCTTCATGAAGAATATTCTGAAATGAAACTGGCACTATTTTTTATTATGAATGCATGGTAGTGGACAATAACCGAGATAGTACAATTTGTTTCCACTGCCGTAATTCCTGCTAAGGTGCCAGCAGTTTTACCCACCATCGCTTTTGCAACAACAGTCAACACCTCAAAAAGGCAAATCGTGTCTTAGTATTATTAAGGAAATAGTTTTGTGTTTGTGATCTCTGAAAAGGTTTCTAAGACAAGCCCTCCTCCACCCCAAAGACCGTGGACCAACCCTTGAGAACTACAGCAATTAAATGTGTCCATTCTGGGGCTTGGAATACAAAAGTAATGAATAATACCATACTTACCTTGAAGGAGGTCACAGGAGAGTCGTGCAAGTAAACAAGTAAATTTTGTTGCATGCTATAACAGACAGGGACCAGATACACTGATAGTTACAAAAGACTAATCAAAAGTCCAGCCATACCTCCAGAAATTCTTTCAGTAGGTCTTTGGTGGGATTCAGGAATCTGCATTTAAGCAAGCATTCCAGATGATTTAGATGCAGATAGTATGAAATCTACAATTTGAGCAACATTGCCTTAAGCAGTGTAAATTTCAGGTTCCCCAGAAGGCCCACTAAGTAGTTTCAGAGAGAATGTCTTACCATATCTCTCAAAAACCACTACTTAGTTTCACTGGCTATTGTTTGCCACTGTATATCAAATCTACCAGCAAAGATTTAAAAGGGAAAATCTGAAATAAACTCTACTTTTTATCTTTCAATTCTCTAGTGCAGGAGGCAGGAAATTTTTTTATTATAAAGGACCAAATAAGTATCTTAGCCTCTGTGGGCCATAAGGTTTCCAATATAACTAATCAGTTCCCCTGTTGTAGCCAAAAGCAGCCAGCAGCAATATGTAAATCAATACGTATGGCTGTGTCCCATTAAAACATTACTTATAAAAACAGGCAGTGGGTTAAATTTGGCCTTTGGTGGTAGTTTGCTGACTCCATGCTCCAGTGCGAAAGTTAACGCTAATGGCCAGTAATTCCCTAAAGAGCGAAAGCAAGAGTCTGAGGGTCAAATGGATGTCATATCCAAAGTTGGAATAATTTTAGGCATCAATATTAAATTCTCATTTCTTCCCAGAATAAACCATATTTCAATGAGCGTCTATTAAGGCATTAGGTGGTACAAGGATACAGTTCTGGGATGTTAAAGTCCTCAATCCCTGGTGGATACCTTGGCATCTACAGTTGAAAAAACTTCTCTGATGCTCTGACTATAAAAATAACAAGACCAGGGCTTTGGGCTGTGACAGTGATTCTTAAACCCTAATGAATGTTAGAGTATGGGAAGCAGATTCTTTAAAATGTAGATTTTCAGATCCAACAAAGAAAGATTCTATATAGTTAATGAGAGAGGTCATGAATCTACATTTTGATCAAGAATATATAGCTGCTGGCCCTGGCTGGTGTAGCTCAGTGGATTGAGCATGGGCCTGTAAACCAAAGGGTTGCTGGTTCAATTCTCAGTCAGGGCACATGCCTGGCTTGCAAGCCAGGTTGCCAGTACAGGGCATGTGAGAGGCAACCACACATCGATGCTTCTCTCCCTCTCCTCTCTTTCTCCTTCCCTTCCTCTTTAAAAATAAATAAATAAAAATCTTTTAAAAATTAAAAAAAAAGAATATATAGCTGCTACTGTGACGCAGGGTGCTTAAATCAGGAACACAGAAGACCTGAGCTATACAGCTATTTCAACTGTTGGAACTAGAAGGAAACTTAGACACATCCGGGGTGATATTCTCTTCCAGCACAAATTTGGTGGTTTTTATAAGTCCACAACCTTTCATGAGAATACATTTTATTAACTTACAGCCACAACTGAATAGTTCCTGCCTTTTTCAACTTGAATAATCTTTGTTTGTTTGTTTGTTTTTGAGGAAAGAAAATTATACTTGCCTTATGATTTCCCTGTCATACTTCACTGAGGGCTTTTGATTTTGAAAGCTGATAACCTGATATGTTCAGTTTGCACTGTGCGGCAAGGTGGCTGTTCTTTAGCTCACAGAGGTTTCCATCAAGCCAAGTCCTCTTGGCTAGGGTGGTCAGACTGAGCAAATATTAATGTAGCAATGCAAATGTAAAATGTAACACTGTTAGGGAAAAAAACAGGAACAAATCTTTAGGAACTGCTTGTATGCAAGGAGTTTTTTAAAGACCTGACACCAAAGTCCAACCCTTAAAAAAGGAAAACTGAAATAGGATTTCATCGATGAAAACGTCTGCTCTGTGAAACAATCTGTTAAGATGATGAAAAAACAAGCCCTGCACACGTAGCTCAGTTGATTAGAGCATCTTCCCAATATGCCAGGGTTGTGGGTTTGAGCCCCGCTCAGGGCATATACAAAAATCAACCAGTGAATGCATACATGAGTGGAACAACAAGTCGATGTTTCTTCTCTAACAAAATCAATTAACAAAAAAATTTTTTAAGATGAAAAGAAAAACTATAGACTGGAATAAAATATTTATAAACCATATATCCAGCAAAGGATTAGTATCTAGAAAACAAGGAATTCTTAAAATACAGCAATGAAAACAATGGACCCCAAATTTGGTTCCAATACCCTTTCTTCAATA